GGGAAATCTGGGAACTCCTTGAAGAACCCTGAAGAGCAAAGAGGTCCGTGAGTTTCTCTGGAACTAATTAAACCTTTTCAAGAACCTGAACACCCTCCTTGAGAACCACATGAAGGACACAAACTACTAGAACCTCCTCCATGGCCTCGAGAACTTCCCAAGAAAACCTGAAACTTGAAGAGCTCTGAGAACCAGAGTTCTTCTTAAAGCGGACCGTCTCATGTCTGCTTTGAGGTTTTATTTCAGAACCATTAACATCAGGAACAACGTCAGAACCAGAACCAGCCGATCACCAGCCAAATGGATCCCTGAATTAAATAAAACACATAAAGCACAACAACAAACTGAAAACGTTCTCCTGATGGAACTCAGAACGGTTCCTCAGCGGTTCTCTGGATGTTCTCATGAACAACCTCAGAGTGTGAAGCTGCTCCTGACTGACGGGTCCAGTGTTCTGGTGGTTCTGGTGGTTCTCATTCAGAGACGTGTGCAGCCGCTGAGAACCGATGGTTTAGAACCGGACAAAGAGAACGTGCAGATCCAGAACATTAATATTCTGCATTTTTAAACGAACGCTCAACGAAACGCAGAAACTCCTGATGTTCTGTTGGACCCGACTCCCGATCGGAGCTTTAATAAAGACACAAAGAACCTTTGATCGACTGTCGCTGTGTGTGTGTGTGTGTGTGTGTGAGTGTGTGTTGTACACAAACTGTAAGGAACACACACACACACACACACACACACACACTCTGGGTTGTTCTGAATGGGAGGTTTTTCTTTAATGAGAGTGAAATTTAAATCCTGCACATTGTTCTGCTTTTAGGCTGCAGCCAAGACGGGCAGGTTTAACACACACACACACACACACACACACACACAGTAACACACACACACACACACAGATGATGTAATGCTGGAGGCCGGGCACCTGCTGGGAGGTGAACTGGATTTGAATTCATTTCGGTGTCTCGCTTTAACAGAAGTTTACACTCAAGTAGAAACACTGAAACTTCACTGATACTGTTGCTAACGGGCCACACTGAGCCGCGGAACCCCTCACAGAACCCGCAGAGCCTCTTTCAGGAGGCCACCTGGAACCTCAAACAGCCCCGGAACCTCTTTCAGCCCGACTGAAACTGTAAATGTGTCCTCAGGCAGCCTCCAGAACCCCAGAAACCTCACAAAAGAACACCAGAACCTCCCTACAGAACCCCCGAAACACCCCAAGAACCCATCAAGCCTCCTCAGGAACCACTGAAGGGAAACTGTAAATATGTCCTCAGACATCTCCAAGAACCCCTGGACCCTCTTTTAGAACCACTGAGGTCAATAACATGAGGACAATGGAACCTCTGAAGAACCTAAACGTCCTCCTCAAGAACGACACGACGTTCAGGAACCACCAGATCCTCCAGAAAACCTTCAGAAATAAACACTGATGCTCTTCAAGAACCACGGTTCTGCTTGAATGTTCTGTAAGGTACGACAAAAATAAACAGATAAGCCTCTTAGGAACATGAAGCTCTTCAAGAACCACCTTGAGATGCTTGAGACTCTCTGGAGCGAACAGAACCTCTCCAAGTAAACCTGAACACCATCCTCAAGATTTATTTGAGTTTCAAGAACCACAAGAACCTCTTGAATGATCCTGAGAACTTTGTGAGGAACTTCTTCTGGAAACCGTGAAAACAACGAGGTCCTCAAAACCCCGAAGCTCCAACTGAACCACCGGCGAACATAAAGAACATGAAGAACATGAAGAACTCAAGAACGTCATCAGAAAACCTGGAATCTTAAAACTTCTCGAGAACCAGATAAACGAGAATCCAGACCTCTAGAACTTCATAAATACACAGTTGGACCGCTTGAGGAACTGAACAACCTCCTCAAGAACCACTGAATCCACTAGAAGAACTTCATAAACAAGCTTTGACCCTCTTTAGAACAGGAACCGGTTCTGCTCTAAAGTTCTGTCAGGTGTCTCTTTGGTTCTGATACTTTGAGCACCGACTGGACCGCCAGTGAACAGAACATAAAGAACTCAGAAATGTTGAAGGAACCTGTTGAAGGTCCCAGAACTTCTTTGACACCAGTGAAACCTCTGCAGAACCTGAGCACCCTTTTCTAGAACCACTACACCTCTAGAAGAACCTGGTTCTGCTCAAACGTTCTCTCAGGTGTTTGGAATCTTTTTCTCTCTGATACTTTAGGAACGGGTCCGTCCAGAACCAGCAGCCGACAGAACATGAGGTCAACAGCGGCTGCGCAGACAGGTGCTCCGGTTCTCACGGCTGCATAACATCCGCGCGCACGCGCTCGCACACACACACACACACACACACACACACACACACACACACACACACACACACACACACACACTCTGAGTAACTCTGGGACGTTCACGGCAACAGGTTGATGCAACTGCAGCAACTTACAGGTAGGACGTGAAGACGCTCAGGTTGCCCGGAACCTCCCGGAGCCCCAGGTCCGAGCAGTCCACCCGGTGCAGCAGCCCGTCCACCTCGCACCGGCAGCGGCCAGGGCAGCCGCCGCGCCCCGCCGCCCGCTCCCCGTCCCCGGAGCTCTGCCCCCGGGGCACCGCGGAGCCGTTCCCCGCAGCCGCAGCCTCCTGCGCCGCGGCCGCGGGGCTCCCGAAGCCCGCCGAGAGGGCTGCACAGGCGGCCAACAGAGCCACGCAGCCCCGCATGTCCGCCCCGCGGGTCCTGGAAGTCTGAGGTCCGGCGAAGAGGCGCTGGAGACGGATGAGAAGCACGCTGGCGTCCGCTCAGTGGAACCGGATCACACGAGGTTCTGCTGGAACCTGGAGCGGCGACAGCGCAGAGTGTGAGTCCGTCCACTCACTGGGAGCGCGTGTCCACGGCCACGCTATATAGGGCTGTGCGCGTGCGTGTGGACACAAAGTCAAACATCAACGTGTTTCGTGGAAACCAGAGCCGGAGAGAAAAGTTCTGGAGAGAAAAGTTCTGGAGAGAAAAGTTCTGGACGTTTATGAGGAGAAATAAAAATAAATCAAGTTTCAGGTTTTGTGACTGAAGTCAGGAGGATTGAATTCAGTTTATTGATTTCTGAGCTTCCAGCTGATTATTGGATGAAATCAGGATCTCAGGAAGAATTTCTGTATAAATGAAGTTTATCATTAAAGTTAATTAACAGGATTTAAACTCATTTTCACAAGTTTTCTGGACAAACACCTGATTTGTTGTTTTTGACCGTTTTAATGAAGCAAAGTTAAATATTTGTTGTTTTTCTGCTTTTTATCAGATTAAAGGCTCAGGTCAGGATTTATTTGTGCTTTTGTTCATTTTGATTCCAGTTTGTTGGTTTTTGTGTGTTTCTGGTTCATTTGTGTTCTTTTGTTTTTGTCTCGTGTCGTTTTCGTCTCTTTTTGCTGGTTGTGTGTTTTTGCTGTTTCCTGTTTCAGGGTTTGTGTTCATTCTGCAGCTCTTTCACATGTTTGTTGTTGTTGTTGTTGTTTTGCACCCTTTGTGCTTCTTTGTTGACCTGTGTGTGGTTGTTTTGTGTGTCTGTTGCAGCTCTTCTCCACACAGCTACGTGTCTCTGCTGTTGTTTTATGTCAGATTGTGTTTATTTTGCAGCTCTTGTTCATTTGTTTGTGCGTCTTTGTCGTCAGTTTTGCTGTTTTTTTGTCCACTTTGCGTCTCTGCTGCTGGTTTCCATCATTTTAAATGCGTTTGTGGTTAATTTTGTGGCTCATTTTAAGTCTTTTTGGTCATTTTTTGTCCACTTTGCGTCTCTTTGTCGTCACTAATCCAGTTTCATATGTCGTGCCGTCACTCACAGACTAAAAACACGCGTGTTGTTCTGCTTCAGAGGAGAAATTAAAGAGTTAAATAATAAAACAGTGAAGCTGCTGTTATAGAGGCGTCCTCACAAAGACAGAAAAACAGACGCAGCTGAAGTTAATGATTAGTGTGTGTGTGTGTGTGTGTTATTGTGTGTGTGTGTGTGTGTGTGTGTTATTGTGTGTGTGTGTGTGTGTGTGTGTGTGTGTGATAACATCTTCATATCTCACCTTTACCTGACACCGACACACACCTGGAATATAAAGACACACTGTCTTGTCTCAATAAAACACACAATAACACAATAACACACACATATATACACAAACCAATCCAACACAAGTTGACCAACGTTCTGTAAACGTTCTCCGACCAGCAGCAGGAACGTTGTGTGCAACAACAGAAACACTCGTGTGTGTTTTTCTTTTGTTTTCGTCTGTTTTTGTCCATTTTTTTGTTGTTTTGCATCTTTTTTCCTCTTTTCTGTGATTTTGTTTCACTTATTTTCGGTTGTTTTGTGTTAATTTTGCTTCTCGTTCGTCTTTTTTGTCAACTTTTGTCCGTTTCTGCTCATTTTGTGTCACTTCTGCTGCTGTTTTCTGTTTATGTTCAGTTTATGTTTGTTTTTGTCTCTTTGTCTGTTTCTGGTCTTTTTGATTCCATTTTCTGTTGTTTTCTGTCTGTCTTCTTTTTGTACTTTTGTGTTTGTTTGTGTCGTCGTCTGTTCAGTTGTGTTTATTTTTTGTCTTTTTTCTGGTAATTTTGCAGCTTTTCTGCTCATCAACGCATGACTTCAGCTTCCAGGCTTCAGCGTTCGACTGTTTTGTGTTGACTTTGTGTCTCTTATCTGTTTCTATTCGTGACTCTTTGTCTGTTTGCGTATTTGTGCGACGTCTCGTGCTGTTTGTTTGTGTTTATTTTGTGTCTTTCTTCAGTTGTTTGTGCGTCTCTTCCTGGTTATTCAGTCGTTTGAGGCTTGTTTTTCTCTTTTTGTGACTTTTTATTGTTGTTTCCGGTCACTTTGTGCTCGTTTTGTGTTGTTGTTTAATTGGTGTGGGTCTGTTTTGTGTGTCTGTTGTTGTTTTTGGTCTTTACTTTAACTGGAGGAATCTGACCTTTGACCTGCTGTGGGATGAACAGGAAGTGAAGCTTGAAGGTGATTTTTCATCAGTGATTGAAACTAAACTCTGCTGCTGGTTTAATAAACATGAACAGATTTTATCGTTATAGAATAAACCAGCTGATTAAACCACGTTAACGCAGCAGGAGCTGATCTTCCTGATGGAGTCTCGGTGGTTTTTATTCCAGAGCGACTCTGAACTCTGCTGGTTAAACGGCTGAACTGCAAACAGGAACCAGTTCAGAGGAATAAACCAGTTTCACTTCAAACCCAGAAAACGCAGGAAACAAAAGCGAGAGAAGCTGCGACGAAGAAACAAGAGTCAGAGAGAATCAAGAAAAACACTTTTACTGTGAAAGATAAGCAGCTGGTTTTAGTCTTTACAGCTGAAAAAGAATAAAAATCTCGTTGTTTTGACATTTAATCTCAGAATATTTCTTTTTTTTAAGGCACAATTTTGACATAAATCTCTTTTTAAAACATTTTTACTATTATTTTATGAATTTTTAACTTGTAGCAAATACATATTCTTAATATTTTGACATTTTACCTAAAAAAAAATCTCAATTTCAGATGTTTTTATTTCACATATTCAGTTTAAATTTATTTATTTTTCCTCATAATTTGTATTTTTTTTACTGAGAAATTTAAATTCTAAGTTCATAAATGGAACCTTTTAGATCAAAGTGGACTTTCTGATGTTGTGTCACATTATTTTGTAAATAGAAAACACGACTTTATATCTGATAATTTTGACAGAAAACTTTTAGACTTTTATGTGAGAATTGACTTTTCAGCTTCAGGAAGTACTTTGCTCTTTACGCTGTAATTTAAAACTTTAATCTCTTATTTTCATGCTATCGTTCATATTTCTAACTTTCTGTCTCATCATTTTTACCGAATAACTAAATATTTTTGACTTTTCAACTCAAATTTGTGTTCATTAATTTTACAATCTACTCTTATTAAGTCAACATTTTTCATTTATCTCAAATTATTTTGACTTTTTAGCTCAACATTTGTTTTACTAAGTCAATATTTACATGTTGTCTCATATTTTTGACTGAGTGAGTCAGAAATGTCCATTTTCAGCTCATATGTTTGACTTCTTTGTTGACATTATTCTGAACTGTAGGTCATAAATTTCACTTCCTGCCTTTAAAAATCAAACTTTTTGTCTCATAATTTACTTTTTATATCATATCTGTCGTGATATAAGATAAATGATCATTTAACAATAAATTTAATTGACTGTTTTTGTCCATTTCATTTTTTAAATCTATTTTTTTAACCATCTTAATTAGTTTTTACACATTTTACACTTTATTATTCAGATTTTTTTAAAATATCAAAATGCACTTTTTAATCTCAGAATTTATTCTCTTCAGCCTCTGATTTTTTTCCGACCACGTTCTGAGGTGAGAAGCTCCAGAACCAGAGCCAGAACCAGAACCAGTCAGAATCATAAACGTTGTAATAATAAACTGATGTTTGTTGTTTTCAGCTCGTCGTCATGTGACGCTGCAGAGAGGAGCCGCCGTCAGGAGGTCTCACTCCGCTGCTGCTTCTGAGCATCAGCTGCACACACCGACAGAAACACTTCCTGGTTGAATAAAACCTGAACAAGACGCTTTAAACAGTTCAGCTTCATAATTTAGCATTTAGATATTTGTTCCTTATACATTCAAACTGGTTTGTTTTGGTCAGCAGGTTCATTTAGATTATATTATGTTGATTTTGACTCTTTTAAATGTTAAATCCAAGTTTGTTTCCCTCATAATTTTTCTTTTTGTTTCCATTTTGATATAATATCTCATAATTAGCATCTTGTCAATAAAAATATTTGCATTTTTCTGTAATATTTTGATTCCTTGCTTGTAATTTAGACGTATTATTATTATTTGCTGCAATATTTTATCTCAGTTTGACGTCTTTCTCTCATAACTTTGACTCATTAAATATTAAATCTAACTTTTAATCTCACAGGTTTGACTTTTTCACACTTAATCTCAGTACATTTTATTTTCTTGAAGTCAACAGCTTCACTTTTCATCTCAGAGTTTGACCTCAGTCTGCAAAATGTGATTTTTTAAAACCACAAAACTCACATTTTGCTTTTAAATTTCACAAATTGAACTTATTAAGGCGGCATTTTTAATTCATGTCTCATAATTTTGCCTTTTATGTGTAAAATCAGATGTTTTCATGTCATCACACTGAGCTACGGATCATAAATTTATGTTTGCTGACTGCTTTGAAATGAAAAAAATGATTTATTTTATTTAATTTTTTAATCAAATTGACTGTTTAGGTCACAGTATATATTTTAGTGATTAAATATTGTGATGTTTTGACTTTCTGTTTCCTAATTTTGACTTTTTAGATCATTATTTTACTTTTTATTGACTTAATTTGACTCATTGCTTCAGAATTATTACAGCTTTTACCATAATTTATATTTTGCAGCTTAAACTTGTGACTTTTTCTACAATAACTTTGACATATTGAGTCGTTTGTTTTCTTTTTGACATTTGAATCTTCCTGCTTGTGCTCCAGTGAAGCTGCAGGACTGAAGGCGGATAAAGGCCTCCTCCTTCAGGCGGAGTGATCCCTCCTCCAACGGCAGACGATCTGCGCCAGTGCTAGCCGGCTAACAGCTAGCTCCGTCCGACGCCATTAGTTGGAGAAAAACAGCGTCTCGATTCGGCTTCTAACCGGGTCTGGCTCCGAGTTCGGCCCGGCCTCCCTCCGCGCTGCGGCCACACACCGACACACGTCCGGTTCGTGAGCGCTGTCGAAGCTTCCCTCTCATGATTTCAGCCGCTTTTTGAAGTCGGAAGCCGATGTGAGCTCCGCAGGAGTCGAGTTCCGACCGCGGCGGTTAGCATTAGCAGCGCTAGCTTGTTTTGATAAAGCCCCGGATCTGAGCGACGGACTGCGGCCATGGCGGCGGCGGCGGCGGCGGGCGGCAACAGCGGCGGAGGCAAGACGTACTCGTTCAAGGTGGTGCTCCTGGGCGAAGGCTGCGTGGGCAAGACGTCGCTGGTGCTGCGCTACTGCGAGAACAAGTTCAACGACAAACACATCACGACTCTACAGGTAAGGCAGCCGGGAGCGGCGCTCCGCGGCCAGCGACGCCGCCGCAGAGCCGTGACAGGCGGCCGGAGCCGCCGCTGCGAGCCGGCGGTCCGGTCCGGTCCGGAGCCGGAGGGTTCGTGTCGGCGCGTGTGTCAGTGCTTTTCACGGTGCGTGTGTTGACCCGAGCCGACCCGGGACGGCCGCGGGGAGCCCGGAGGCGGTGCTGAGGCGCAACCCGGGTTTGTTCCGGGAGTTGCTGTTCACACAGACCCAGCTGCGGCTCCGCGGCCCGGAGCTGGAGCCGAACCAGAACCACTCTGCAGAACTTTAACCGTAAAATCAGCTAAAATAAACAGAACCTGAATTTAGCTGGACTTAAAGTCCTGGAGGTGAAACACGTCATGGAAATCAGGTTGTGACGTCATTATAGGGAGTGTTTGGTAATAAACTAATCAATCAGTTTATTGATTAATCTGAACAATTAAAACAGCAAAAAGAGCCTCAGTAAAGTAAATGTTATTGTGTAAACAGGATGAGCTTCTGAATGATGAAACAGGAAGCTCGTGTTTACACAATAAAACCTCCAACATGAAGAAAATCCATTTAAGAGAAATCATTATCATTATTGTTATTATTATTATTATTATTATTATTATTCTATCAGACAGTAGGGAAACTTCAGAAGAAATGTAAGTTTCTATTAAATCTCTGGACAAAGTGCAAAAGGTCGGTTTAATGTCTGATAAAATTACAGGAAAAAAAGTAAAATTACATGTAAAACACCCAAAGCTAACAGGACAACACTATAAATAACATCGACATTCAAATCTGTATTTTATTAAACAGTAATTTGTTCTTTTACAGCATTTGATTGTCAGATTACCTTATTTTTAAATCAGCAAAAATGTAATTAAATATATCTACTATTATCTGACAGGAAATCCGTGCATATTAAGGATTGAAAAATACTACAAAATAAAATATAAAACATCTGCTATTTTACAGACTTTTCCTGTTTTGTTAAATTACAGATAATATCTAATAAAATCACAGAAAAAATATTAATTTACATATTTTTACCATCATAAAACAAAACCAGGACAAACCTGTTCAACCATAAAATCACACAGTTTAGTTTTATTTAAACCAGTAAATATTATAATAGTTTGGCAGATATTTGCAGTCATTTGACAGAAAAATGTGTAAATTAATTAAAAATAGTTTTAAAAAATAAAAGAAATCAGCTGTTTTTACATTTTCCAGGTTTAGTAAATTACAGATAATTTATTATCTTACAACTGTAGAAAAATCTCATTTTTAGTGTATTTTAATCATCTTACAATATTATTAGATAAATTCCATCATTTTTAATATTTATTTGTGTGTAGCAGCATTGCACCGTTTTTACATTTTTATTTTATTTTTTTGTACATATTCCTTCTGGATCCCTGCTGTCAGATTTTCACCTTTTTGTGTGACTTTAGCAGAAGCTTTGATTGTTATTATAAAACATAAGTGAGTTCGTCTGTATTCCGGTTCCGGTAACGTGAGCACAGCGAGCCGGAGAGAAGCTAACGGAGGCTAACGTGCTGCTGACGTCACAGTCAGAGGAGCTCAAACAGGCCCGTGTTTGATTCGTGGTGGAGTCACGTGACGTCGGACGCCTTCGGGCCTTTTCCGGTCTCCACGCCGTCATGTGACCCGCGGCGGATCGATTCGGACTCGACGAGTCGGCGGCGGAGCTGCGTGCTGATTGGCCGTCAGTCGTGTCGCAGCACGAGCTCGGCGTTAATAAACCGTCATGAGACCACAAATATGTTCCATCGTCTGCTCTCATAATTCATTTAGATGCTTCAGCTGGTTCTGATGTTTGAGCCTCGAGCTGCTGCTGGACGGTTTTGTTCATGTTTCACTAAAGTCCTGCAGCTCTGAGAAGGAGGAGACGGAACCCAGAGATGGTTCTGTCAGCCGGACTCAGTCAGAACCACGGAGACCAGAAAGACATAAATAATAAGAAGAATTTATTTATTTAGGTTACAGAAATGGGTCCAAAATGACTCGTAAGTCGGTTAATGGGACAAAAGCTTCACCAAAATTACTGAAGATGTGGATAAAGTGACAAGAACTCGTCCCAAATTACTTAAAACCTGTTTAACGTGAGAGAAAAATGGTCCAAAATGTCACCAAAATTACTCCAAATCTTGTTATAATGACCAGAAGTTTTTATTATTTTAGTATTGAATATAGAGACTCTACGTGGAGCTGGTTCAGGTGAAACTCAGTCACGGTGAAGTTTGTGACGTCTACTGTTAAAAAGTGAATTCATTTTAATTTTAAGGTTTCATTTTCAGCATCTAATGAGAGTTACTTAAAAGAAAACAGTTTTAGAATTAATATTTTACTCATTTTCACACATTTTCTATCAGAAACAAATATTCTACGATATCAAATGATGCTAAAAAATATGTTTACGTGCATGTTTATATAATAATGTCCTTTACAAAAGTAAAATAAGAATTTAATCTGTGATAAAACAATAAAAACACTCGTATATGTTCAAGTTGTTGCCACGTATGACGAAGAGAAGCAGTGACAGTTTTATGTTTTTAGATGATGAGAGTCTGCAGCAGGTTGACCGGTGGTTAGCTGGTTGGTTAGCCGGTGGTTAGCTGGTTGGTTAGCTGGTTGGTTAGTTGGTTGGTTAGCTGGTGAGTTGTGGGTTAGTTGGAGGTCGTTAACGTCCCGGTTGAGGTGAACAGAGCGACTGAGAGGAAGCAGAGAAGTGGAGCTGCCGTTCAGGAGGACTTTAACCTCCAGCTTCTTATCAGATCTGCAGACGCTAGCTGGAGGTTAAAGGAACCGACGGACGTTATGAAAGCTGCTGCAGCAGCATTTCAACAGCAGAGCGTTTGTTCACGCAGCTTCTTGTTCTGAAGCAGAACTCAGTGCTGCTGCTCTCATGGTCGATCCATCAGCTGGTAGAAGATGTAAGAAAACAGTGAAGAAACACCAACAGAGTCGTCAGAGGTCCAGGTTTCTGTAGAGAAGACGAACACGTTCAGCTTTAACAGTCTGTCATGTTTATTTTTATTCACGTTTTTGTGTTTGTGGGATTTAAAAGATTTAAACAACAGTCTGATCACCTGGTTCAGGCTGCACATATGAACCTGCTGTCAGTTTAAGTTCTGCTTTCCGCCGGTTTAAAAATCCCCGTCACTGCTGCAGGAAACGACCGCGACGCTAAAATAGACGAGTTAGAGGCTGAGAGTCGGTTTCTGCTCAGATCGGCCTCCTGAGAACGTCTGTGGACGGCAGGACTTCGTTTTACAGCAGAAACAATAATAAATGTAGAAGGAGCTCCTGTTTGGTCTGAAACGTTAGTTTAATCATCAGTAACTGTAGGAGGCTCACGTTAAATCAGATTTAATGCAGAACCAAAGCAGGACGCTATCGTCTGATTTTAATCCATTTTTTAGCTAATTTAAGTCATTGTTTTACTCTGGAAGCTTCTGATCTGTTCAAACCAGCTCCTGTTAAATCTGTTGATTAAAGTTCTGCAAATGTGGTTTAATGAGTTCGTTCAAGTATCGTCTTTTATTATTGAAAGTCTGATCAGAATGTCGTCTTTTATCGGGTTTGTGTGGCGTTTTGTCGTCGTTGCAATAAGAGAAGTCCTGATCAGTTGTTTTTGTTCCTGCTCTGGTCCAAGTTTTTTCATATTTAGTGTCTCCTGATGCTGTTTTCTTCTGATAATACGCATTTCACGTACCGTCGACCAGCTGCAGTACCTGGTTGTTCCACCAGGTGGAGCCTCTCACTGTTTAATCCCATAGAGACCAGAGGAGGCGTCTACAGACTACAGCTCATAGTGGCAGCAGAGAGCATTGTGGGAGTTTAGCAGCAACGGGACCATGACAGAGACTCTGAGGAGGTTAATGACCTCTGATGAGAGCTCATGTTCTGAATCAATCCAGGATAAAATAAGTCAGTGTTGATGCATCCTGCTGCTGCTTGCGCATCTTTCTGTTGTTTCCTTCTCTCATGATTCAAAACAGACAGTTTACACTTAATCCTGCCACCAGATAAACAACAAACAAACAAACAAACAAACAGATGGCACCGAAAACATCCCGAATAATTCCCTTAATCTGGGCAGCGAAACGGATTAAAGACTTTTTAACTTCCTGGTTGGATGAGATTGTTTTTCAACCAGTTTCATGCAGATTTAAAGACGTCTAACAAGTTAAACGACCTTTTTTTTGAACATCTAGAACATGAAACTGATGAATGTCTCCTCCAGCGACTCTTTCCGTCTTGTTTTTGGTGTTTTTTCTGTTTTTATCTGATGTTTGTGGTTTTGCTGACGTTCCCTCGTCTCCGTCTTGCAGGCGTCCTTCCTCACAAAGAAGCTCAACATCACAGGAAAGAGAGTCAACTTGGCCATTTGGGTGAGGAGCTTGGTTTGCAACGCTACTTTCGTTCTTTGTGTTTCTGAGTGGATGTTAACCGGCGGTTCTGTTTCCAGGACACGGCGGGTCAGGAGCGCTTCCATGCGTTAGGGCCCATCTACTACAGAGACTCCAATGGAGCCATCCTAGTGTACGACATTACAGACGAAGACTCCTTCCAGAAGGTAAATACGGCACCGGTTCGACTCCGTCCAGCTCCCAGTCTGGATGTCTGAGGTCCGGGAAGCTTCGTCTGGAACAAAACATCACATTTATCCATGAACATGAACGTTTATTTGGGTTTTTACTGGTTCAGAATCAACATTTGTTGGCTGATTACCCAAAACTTCAAGAAAACAAGTCTTTATTGTCTTAATCTTTCTATTTTCTTGTTGTTTCAGGCCTTTTATAAACAGAAATGTTTATTATATTTGAGTAAATGACCCCAATTTAACAAAACCGGTTTAAAAAAGTAGGATTTTTATATTAAACCTCTATGAGCTGTTCAGAAACGTTAGCGTAGCATCAGGTTTTGAGTCGTTTCTGAAGTAGATCTGAAGAATTAGTTGCTAAAAACTGCGTTAGTTTGCCTTTTTGGACGTCTTCTTTAGGTAACGATTCCACTCAGGCTATTTAAAGCTAACCGTTAGCCGCAGCTAAAGCTAGTTTAGCTAATTTTTAAACTCACTTTCGGTGCTTCGACAACTTAAACGCTGGATTTTTGTGTCTGATGCAGATTTCAGGGAATAATAAACACAGATATTGCGATACCGACTGATGTTCTTTGAGCGTTTGTTGGAGTTCTGTCGGAAATTATTTGGTTATTGTTTAATTTTCCAGCATTCATTTCGCAAGCTAGTTAGTTAGCTGTGTTTTTGACGTTTGTTTGCTCGACTGAATATGTGTTTCAAATATCAGCAATTTAGTTCTTTAAAGCAAAAGAAATAAAGCTTCTGATAAAGGAGTCTTGCTTAATGGTAACTAGCCTAGCTTAGCATTGTAGCATTAGCTTCTGTCTGTGCTGCTTTTTATATTTCTGGTTCAATTCATTAAATGAACCTAATAATTACTAATAATCAAGCTAAAAAGTTTTCATATTATTTCGTCACATTCTCAGTATTTTCTTTATAATGTACTAAAAGCCTCCAACATCCGACCTTCAGCTGTTTATTATTTCTTTCCAGGCTTCATGAGACGCTGGTTAATTGTGCTTTTGTGTTGTTGCAGGTGAAGAACTGGGTGAAAGAGTTGAGGAAAATGTTGGGCAACGAGATTTGTTTATGTATAGTAGGTAAGTAACAAACAACTAGTTCACAATTAATCAGTGGGTTTAAAACAACTAAATTGGTTCACACACATTTAAAGGCATTTCAGAGACATTTTAAATTATTCTGGACAAATTATGAGTTTTTAAGACCAGATTTATGTGGTTTTGGGACGAAGATCAGGTCACTTTGGAAAAGTTTTGGTGATTTTGTGCAAATTCTGACTCATTTCGGACAAATTGTGAATTATTTCAGACTAAGTTTTGGCTTTCTGGACGTCTTTGGGGTGATTCTGACGTTTGTGTTGTTATTTTAGACAAAATTCAACTCGTTTGAGACATTGTTGGACTTTTATTTGATTTTGATTTTGGATGAATTGTGAATCATTTGAGACGAGATCAAAGTCGTTCTGAGCAAGTTTATGTTGTTTTAGACGAGATTCAAGTTGTTTTGTTTTAGCTTTTTGGATGTTTGTTGGGTGATTTTGGACAAATGTTGAATTGAGCTAAAGTTATTTTAGATGATTAGATTTGAATATTTTGGACATTTTGAGTCAGTTTGGACACATTACAATCTCTCCTGTCATGCTGGATTGTTTTTTATGTCATTTTGGACACTCGTTTGTCGGCTAGTCTGTTTTCTTTTAGATATTTTGGGCATTTTCTTTGGTGCGATGGACCAGTTCTTAATAATTTTGGACAAATGAGTCGTGTTGAACATGTTTTTGCCATTTTGGACAAATTGTGAGTGGTCTTAGAAGAGATTCAAGTCATTTTGGACAAGTGTGAGCTTTCTGGACAGATGTTAAGTTGAGCTGAAGTTATTTTAGATATAATTCAAGTCTTTTTGGACATCTTGAATCAGTTTGAATGAATTTCCGTGTCTCCAGTCAGGTTGGATTGTTGTTTTAATGTCATGTTGGACATTTGTTGGTCATTTTTGATAAATTAGTGATTTTATATGTTCAGTATAATATAATTAAAGATAACTCATAATAATAACAATAATTGAATAATACTTGGTTATACAATGTTTTAGATTTGTTTCGGCCAGTCTGGACAGTTTACTTTTGTTATTTTGAGCAAACTTTTGCCATTCTGGACAGTTTATTTTGAGGTAATTCTGGCCGAGCAACAGCATCCGACTGCTGTGACGTCGTCGTCATGGTGATTCACTGGTGTAGTTTTGAGTCATTCTGGAAAAGCAGCCGTCAAACCGAAACGTCTGGTCGGACTCACATGGAAACAGAGCGGCGCGGAATCAGGTCGAAGGAACTCGTCCTGGACGTAGATCTTTAATGTCAGACTGAAATAAAACCAAAGTTGTTCATGTGGAGGAAGCTGCAGGGAGCTGTGAGCTTCTGGTTTCAGTCTGAGCTGTTGTCTTTATCTCCACACCAGAGATGGAAAGTTAGCATCAGCCAGAGAGACGTTAACCAACCAGAGCAGCAGCATCGATCGGTGGAGCCTCATGTTGAAGCCCGACAGCTGATCAATAAACCTCCATCGTGTCTCTGATCAGATAGAATGTAATGAAAGGCTTCTGATTCAGTCAAAGTCTGTTTTCATCATTGGACTGTTTGTTCTGTTGCCGTAGTTTCTGAATATCGAGTTTAGACTTTTAACTGGATTAAGATCCAGTCGTCATGTGTTTGGATCAGATCCGACGGTGAAGGCATCAATCTGCTGCCTGGAGACGATGATGTTGTTGTTGTTGTTGTTGTTGTTGTTTTGGTGTTTTAAGGCTGCTTTAAAGTCTTTATGTTAAAAAAGTTCCGGTTGTGGCTCCTTTAACACAAACAGCTCGATAAGTTCTGCTTCTATGAGTGAAGTTTATCCTGTCTGGAGCTTTTATCTGCTGAGAGAACAAACAGGTTGATGTTTAAACAACATTTAGCCTCTTTTAGCTCCGTGTTTGGGCTCCACCAGAAACAAGCAGCTAGAATCAGGACTGTTTATCACATCAGTGGATCAGATTAGTGTGAATCAGAAGCTGTTAGCGAGCGGCTAACTGATCTGGTGTTTAACATACTGAGCTAATTTAGCACACTGAGCTAATGCTAACGCTAGTGGAGCAGCATAAACGGAAATGATTGGAAACGATAACCGGATTTATTGAAAACAGAAGGACCCTGACCCTCGTCCATTAACCTGCTCCCAGGCCATAATAACTCCTGTAACCATGGCAACTGCTCACAAAGATGGCTGTGAGCTCAGAGGACGAGAAGATTTAAAAACGAAACTAAAGTGTGACTTTGCTAACTTTGACTAAAACAAAAAAACGAGTCGGTTTAAAAATACTTTGAGTCGTTTTGTTCAAATTCTGAGACGATTGAATCGACGTGGAGTCATTTTGGACCATTTTTGAGTTATTTTGAACAAGTTTTAAATAATTGAAAGTAGTTTTAAGTTAATTTATTAGTGGACAAGTTTCAAGTTCTTTTTTTTTTTTATTCATAATTAAAATATGTTTTAAAATCCGGTTCTTTTTGGGCACTTTTGAACAATTATTTATCGTCAAGAGGCACTTTTATGATGTTTTCTGACTCATTCATAAAACATGTTTGAAATTTTTGTATTTTTTGGTGATTTTTGAGTCATTTTTTGTAATTTGAGTCTTTTATGTCTGCAGGTAATAAAATTGACTTGGACAAAGACAGACACGTTTCAGTGGAAGAGGCTGAGAGGTGAGGACGGATTCATCTTTATATATTATTAACGTTATCACTGAACATAAACGCTGACGTTGTCGTGTGTTTTTTGTGTAGTTACGCCGAGTCGGTGGGAGCCAAACACTACCACACATCCGCCAAGTTGAATAAAGGCATCGAGGAGCTTTTCCTGGATCTCTGTAAACGTAAGACTCAACCTGAACGCCTCAAACATGACGTTCTAGAGCTCAGGTTCTTCAAAATAAGGCCTCAAAAATCAAAATATTTTCTCTCAACTGCTGTTTTTTTTTTCCTGTGCGTCATCTTAAAACTCACATATATTTAATTTATTGTCATTTATGAACCAAAAAACTCCAAATTTTACTTTTTGGAAGCAAAAAGCAGCAAGTTTTTGAAGTTTTTGGTAAAAAAAAAAAGACAGAAATGTTGATTTATTATCAGAACATCAGCCTGTTTGATAATTAATTAACTTTTAATGCAGCTCACAGCCACTTACTGATAATTAGAATAATTAATTATTATCATATAACGCTGGAAACTTCAAATTCAGCCTCCACAGGATAAAATAAACCTCAGATATTTTATTTCTAACATCTTAAATATGATTTCCAGCTTGTTGAAGGCAGTCATGGTGCTTATAAAGTAAATATAAACTCTGATTAACGAGGCCCAGGTCGTCTTATTAGTAGAAACAACTTCTTTTAGGTGTTTTTCTGTAATTCTTTAACATCTGTGACGTCAGCTGACTGAAATATTTGACGTTTCTGTTGGAAAATCCTCGACGTCACTGAGAACAGATCCTAATCTGAGCTGTGGCTGTTTCATAACGCCGTTGTTTTCATTCCTCCGTTGATCCGGTGACCTGCTGACCATCGTTATCGTGTCCATGTGACCCGCTTGGTTCTCATTTTTACTTTAATTATATGAAAAAAACAAAAACATCAAATAGGAAAAGGAAACCAGAAGTCGCTCTGAGGGACGGGATTGGTTGAGTTTCTGTAAAGTTGTGATTTAATCTCTATAATTACTGATTATTAACGAACACTGTGGCTCTGATGTTTTAAAGGTTTTATTCTGTAATATTTCAATAACTCCAGTAAAGTCACACCATGAATCAAACTGGAGGATCTTTGTTTTAAAGGTTCCACATGAAACCAGAGACGCGACCAAAGTGTTGTTTGGTTTTCTTCATTTCAGGAAACAGTTTTTATACGTTCAGATAAAACGTCTGGATAAATGTCCAGATGTTTTTTTACACGTCAGACTCGCCGACAGTCGCACAGTTTTTATTGTACTTGTCCAATATTGTAGATTCTGAAACAAACAAACAAAAAGTTCTCTGAAGCTGTCTGATTATTTTTAAGCTTAAATTTCACAGATCTCTTTATAAATATCTGTAATTTATACTGTAAAGGTTTCAGGCACATGGAGCACATAACAAAACTAAATCAGTAAAAGAATAATGAAATAAAAGTAGAAATATAAAGACAAATAAATACAATTAGAATAATTTATTTAAAAAAAAATTAAATTAAAAAAAAAAAAAAAAATTCTGTTAATTTTTTATTTTTTAAAAATGTTTTTTAATTTTAATTGAAAATGTATATTTAAAAAGAATTATTTAAAAAATTGATGTTTTTTCATTTTCATTTTTAGATTTATTTGTATATATATATATAAATAGTGTTGTTTTAAAAGCAAAGGAATGAAAAAAATTTAATTTTGTAGTTGTTGTAGTTTGGTGTTCTCACTGCTCCAAATGTAGATTATTGGTTCTGATCATCGTCCTGTTAAAGAATGATAACAACAGAAATAAGCTGAAATGGACAAAAGTAATAATAATTTTGGATTGAGGTTTAACAGAAATAATAAATGAATAAATAAAACTTGTGCACCTGTTGGCAGGTGTTCAGGTTTCACTGCTCATCAGCAAAGTTCTCTAATTTGTCCTGGACAGTTTTTAATTTTTATAAATTCTTCTTTTCAACCACGATTCAAAACCAACGTCTGATTTCACTAAATTATAATTTACATTTTTTTAAATTTCTTGTTACTTTTTTCAGACTTTTGTGACTTGAGTCTTTTCTTTAATGAATTAATTTGACTGTGTCTCGAGTATCAACCTTTAAAAACAGCAGAAATGTGACGTAGTGAGAAATAAGTGGTTCAGAGAAGTTAACCTGGATCACCTGAAGCTAACCTGGACGTCCAGCTGACCCGGCCCGTTGTGTTTCAGGGATGATGGAGACGGCCCAGGCCGAGGAGAGGATGAAGGGCAACGGCTCCAGCCAGGCGGCGTCCAGCCGGCGAGGCGTCCAGATCGTGGACGACGAGCCCCAGGCCACGCCCGCCGGCGGCTGCTGCTCCTCCGGCTAACGCTAACACACACCCTCCACCACGCTTACAGTCATTATATCCACACACACACACACACACACACACATCTATCGGTCTGTCCGTTCAGCGCCGCTGCCGCCGCTGCTGCTGCCGCTGCTGCTGCCGCTGCTGCTGCCGCTGGGGATTGTGGGAAATCTAATTTGTTTGATCCTCCAGAATAAACGTAACTCGAGTCCTCATGATTACAGCGAGTGTGTCACGTTTTTAGCACTTTGATTATTAGAGACGTCTGCGGCGCCGGTTTCCGACTAAACGTGTTAATAAAGAGTTCTAAATAGTTCTGGAGACGCGACGCGGCGCCGCTGGGTCCGGTTCCGTCTGTCAGGCTGTAACATGCAGCAGCATCAACACTCTGTACAAACTGCATCATGGAGGAGGAGGAGCAGGCTGAGGGCAGAGGGGCAGCGGCGCCACCTGCTGGACGCTTCAGGAACTACATCTGTAAACAGTTCTGTAGAGGAGGGTCCAGATTGATCACCTTAATGGACTTTTTCCATCAGTTCTGAGCCTCAGAACTTCATCAGTACAGCAGATAGACACATGACATTTAGGAGGAAGAACACATCTGGGTTCTGCTAGAACCTGACACCAGATCAGTTCTACATCCATCCAGGTGTCTCAGTCTGAACACTGGATCTGGTTCTGTTCATATCTACCACAAACATGATCTCAAGGAGTCAAATTGGCACCAAAAAGGACCAAAATTAGCAAAAAAAACAAACAAACATAAAATCTCTACAAAAAGATGCAAAATTATGAGGAAATAAAAGCAAAAAGAAAATTACCACAAAAAGATTCAAAATCAACACAAAGAGTTCCAAAATTACCACAAAGAAAAGCAAAGTCCCCATAAAAAGCTGAGAAATCACCACAGAAAGGTTTGAAATTAACACAAAGACTTAAAATTGGCACCAAAAGATCCCAAAATTGTCACAAAAAAAACCATAAAATCACCAGAAAAGACATGAAATATCCACAAGAAGATTCAAAATCACCACAGAACCGGCTGATATTACCACAAAGAAAGACAGAATTACTTTAAAAAGATGCCAAACCACCACAAGAAAGGTTCAACATGACCAGAAAGAAATCCAGTCGACAGAAGATGGTTCAAACAACTACAGAGGAACAGAAAGTCGCCATCAAAGGGGCCAAAATGACATCAAATCACCAAAAAAAGGACTCCAGAACCTTTAGCACCAGTTCTACGTCCATCCAGGCGTCTCCGTCTGAACACTGGACCTGGTTCTGTTTCTCCAAACGTGCCTTGTGTTAGTAAAACGGTCCCTCTATTGTCCAGAACTGGTTCTGACCAACCAGCACCAACACATGAGCCTGGACCCAGAATGCACTTTGTGAAGTTTCCTCTGGTGGACGATCAGAAGACTTTTATTTTGAAACATCCTGAACTCGTCGTTTAGCCTGAACAGCGTCAGAACTTCAGTCTGAAGTTTAGCTCAAAGAAAAAACAGTTTAATGAACAATCAGGAGATTCAGATTTAACTTGTTTTCGTTGAATAAAAGATGAAAAAAATGTAAGAAAATACGAAAAAAAAACACCTAAATATAAACGTAAGATAACCGTTACATGTGTAGTTTTAGATCTGCTGCTGATCCAAACAGGTGTTTTGTGCTCTTTAAAGTTTGACGAATCTAATTTGTAGGTGAGTCAATAATAAAAGCTGATTGATTCGTGTCACATATTGAGATTAAAGCCAATAAAATGTCAGAAAATGGTGAAAAAATGACCTGAAACCAGTTTATGTTTAAAGAAAACCAATAAAAAGAAGCAAAACTTGAGGTCAGAGGAGCTGGAATCAGAGAATAATTCACTGGATTTCTGATGTAAAAATAAAAACCTGATTTCATCTTTTATTTACTCCTTAATTAGAACAAATTCAAACCGTTGCTGTTGTGTTTAAGCAGCTGTTTGAACCCAAAGCGACGATTCTTTTCTCTGAAACCTCGTTTATAAAGATGAAAACAGAGAAAAGCAGCAAATCTTCTCGTCTGAGGAGCTGAAACCTGATAATAATGTTGATTAGTTTTCTGCCTGATCATGCAGCTCAGCTCCTCCTCCTCCTCGTCACCACTAATTGGTTTTCCTAACGAGCTCATATCTCCACCCAGACGTCGACTCTGTGCATGTTTGATTTCTTCTGTATGCGGCTTTGTTTTGTCTTTACTTTTAAAAGAAATAAAGAACCGAGCAGCGGTTATTTAATAAGTTATGTCCCCGTGGCGGTGATGGAAGCTCTGCTGTTGTTCCTCCTCCATTAATCTGTGCTTCACCGCCAAACGTTGTCCAGAAAGACCAGAAGAAGAAAACCAGACGTCGTAGCTTCCTGCTCGTCCTGCTGGGAGACGAGACGAAGACAAGACAAAAAATCAGCACACTTTTTGGAAATGTAATTTTTTTAAACTGCTCGTGTCAAAGTGAAGATGTTTTGTAAAGATGATAGAACAATTATAACGATTTACACAACGCATGAGCGTGTCGCTTCTTTCCATCGCATGTGTTCGCTTTGTCCAGCCGGAGCCCCGACGTGTCCAGCGTTCAGTAAATCACACATCATGGAGCCTTTATGATGGAAAAGTCTGTCCAGAATGACTCGGACGTCGACTAACATCACAAAAACTGGTTCAAAAATGACTCTAACTTTGTTTAATGGGACAAAAACTTGTCAAATATGCCTTAAAATGTGTCCTACATGACGAAAACGACTCACATTTAGTCTGAAATGACTCAGAATTTGTCCAAAATGACAAAAAACTTGACTCAGTTTGTTCATAATTTGATTAATGGGGGAAAAAAATGTGTTCAAAATGTATTTACTGTGACAAAAATGGCTCATTTTTTTGTCAGAAATTACTAAAAATGTGTGAAATGTGACAAAAAAAATGTTTGAAATGGATCAAAGTTTGTCTAATATGATGAAAATCTGTCAAAAATTACTTCAAATTCGACTAATGTCACAAAAACTGGTCTCTGATTTGTTTAATGTGACAAAAACTTGTAGAAAATCATTTACAGTTTGTCTAAAGTGGCTCAAAATGTGTCCAATGTGACGATAACTTGTCAAATCTGCCTTAAAATGTGAAAACTTGACTCAGTTTGTTCAACGTGTCGGAAAAATCGCCCCATATTAAAAAAAACATTCTTAATGTGACATTTTTTTAATGACTTAAATATTGTCCAATATGACTCATAACTCATACAAAAAGGTGTTCAACATGTTTAATGAGACCAAAACTTCCAGAGAATGTGTCAGATTTAGTCTAAAACGACTCAAAATCGATCTACTCTGAGAAAACGGCTCATTTTGTCAAAAACTACTAAAAATGTGTGAAATGACAAAACGTTGACCACAATGACTCATATTTTGTCTGAAGTGACTCAAAATTAATCCAACAAGACAAAAACGTGACTCAGTTTGTTTAATGTGCCCCATATGACTCATAATTTGATTAATGTGGAAAAATACGTGACAAAAATAACTCAGAACTTATAAAATCAGAACGTATTTATTGTGACCAAAACTTGTTTAAAATGACTCAAAATGTCCGTATTTTATGCTGATATTTGATTAATTCTCTCAGTGGAGCCACATTTTACTGATGAAACATTCAAACATCTTCAGAAAGTTGAAAATGTGAAGAATTTTTCTGTTTTTCTGGTTTCTTGCTCTGATTAACGGTTTTATTTTGGTAAATTTTTAACGCTTTAAAACTAATTTATTCCGTTCAGTCCCTGTGAACTCCTCGGGTTTCTCCCGTGGTCCTTCTGGGGGTCTCGACCCTCATGTTGGAAACCAGACGACCTTGTGTTTTTTTAAAATAATCCACACAGACTCGGTTTTCCTTTAATCGTCTTTTATTGTGGAGTCGTTGATCCGTCAGTTCACAGCAGAAGTTTGAACACAGGAAGGATGTCAAACAGGAAGTTTCCCTTTTTTAGCTTCTGGGCGACAAACCGGACCGACGGACTTCGGTTCTGCCGTCGGACTCGACTAAACGCCGGAGCCGCCGACGGGGGAATGTCTCTTCAGCTTTTATTCTGAAACGGTGGCTTCTACCCATTTGCTGCTTTTCAAATTAAGAGCGCAGCAGCAACAAAGAAATGAAACAAAACAGTCACTAGAAAACAGAAATAATATATTTATATATAAAACTACAAAAATAAAGACGAGCCAGCGGGCGGATTAACGTCGGTTTGAAGCTGAAACATTGCTGCTGTGGCTGATTTTAGTGCTTCTGGAAGCTTCCGGAAGCTTCTTGGCCGCGCTCAAATGTGTCCAGAAGAGAAACGTCTTTTTTCTTTCATTGCATTTTGATTTTAAAGATGTTTTTCTACCCAAATTTCTTTCAGAATTTAGAGATTAAAGCCTTTTTAATCATGATTCAGATTAATTTTGATGCCGGTTCTTCTCTTAAAGACTCATTTTATCGGTTTCTTGTCCAGAAGTGGATTTTAGAGTCAAAAGAAAATCGTCCAAAACGTTAAAAACAATGAATCTTGGTTCCATTTTCCACCAGATAGAGCTTCAATTCATTTATTGTGACAACTTCATTTATGTTTTTACAGTATTTACAAGTCAACGAAAGAGAAGAATCAAATTTAAACCCCAAATAAAGACGTTTAATGTGATGCCAGGTTGACTTTCCTCCTTTAAGACCTTCTTCTGGAGACGTCAGAGCTTCTCTAATATTCTGTGTATTGACGTTATTTTAAGATACTAGAAGAAAGAAAAACATCTCAAAGCCTATAAAATCGATTAGACAGCAGATTCCACACCAACGAACAGTAAAATGTTTTCTCCGGGTCAGAACCGAACCCGGCGGCGCTTCAGTGACTTCAGGCACTTTGGACACAGTTCAAAAACCAGAAACAACAAAATAATAATAAATCAAGAAAACGACATCAAGAGGACGCCCCGAACCCGACCCAGGAGCCCCGCGGCCACCAGGGGGCGCCACCGCCTCAGTAGATGGGAGGGTTGTGCAGCTCCTGGTACTTGGGCGGCGCTGGAGAGAAGACGGCCGGGACCGAGAGCAGGATGGTGGGTCTGTTGGGGTAGCGGAGCTGGTGGATCATGACGGAGGACAGAACCATGCCCAGAACCTGCAGGAGACACAGCGGGTCAGTTACAGCTCGACTGGTGACGGGATAAAGAGCTAAACGTAGACCTCTTCGATTTATTTATATTATAAACGTAGTTCTGCTCCATGTTAAATAATCCTGAAAGTAAAATTTATTTGGTTAAATTCAAAACGAAAGCTTTGGATTCGTTTGTTTTGTGTATTTTTGTTTAAAAAAATAATTTAAAAAAATTTTTTAATTTGCATTTTTCTGGTAAATTTGTTCATTTTTTCGTTAAGATCGACGTCTTTTTATTTATTTTTAGCATCAAACAAATAAAGCAAAACAGCTAAATTGTGTATTTAACAATATTAAAGCGCCACTCAACAGGAAGCGGCGCCATAATGTTGTTAAATACACAAATATGCCAGAAAAAAAAAAACATGAATTAAATTTTTTTTTTTAAACAACAAATTTACACAAAAAACCAACAAATCCAAAGTTGTCTTTTTGATTTTGGCTTCAGCTTAAACAAATATGAAAAAATATATTTATAAATATATAACAAACTAATGTTAAATATGTAGGCCAGTGTATATAACAATAATAATAATAATATTGGAGGGTCTTAATAACTAGTCATGAATTTATATCATACATATGGTTCATTTATATAATTCAAACTATTGAGTCTTTATGTTAACAATTAATCAAGTAAATTTATTAACTATAAATATGTAGTTGTACCCAAATGTTAAATTCACAGTAAATAATATTTTAGAGTCTTAATATCCACATTAGTTTGTTTATTAATAATTATTTATGGGTACTTGCATTCAGTAAATGTCGCAGCGTTTTAACCTTAAATCTAATAATTACTCGACGGGGGTTTTAACATAATTTTTAAATTAGTTGGTAAATTTACATAAATAATACTGCAGGTAATTAAATATGGAAATTTGCTCGATCAGTTTGTAGAATAAATAAAACTGTCGGGTTTTAATATTGAAACTCGTTCTGTTGTCTTTAATCAGTTTTATTAAATAAACTCGACAGATTGTTTTTGTGCTTTTTAATTCCATCAGTGGGGTTCAGATGGTAAAGTAGCCATAACGACTCTAAACGGTCCTTAAATTCAATTACGTTAATCTAATAAGACTTTGTGTTCCTCCGACGCCCCCTGGAGGACGCTCCTGTAACTGCACCACTTACATGTTCAGTGGATGCATTTGGTTGTTGCACGAATTAATATAAAGAAATAAAACTCTTTATGCTGTTTAACTCCTTCCTTGAATAGATGAATGAATGAATGAATGAATGAATGAATGAATGAATACTCACAGCCAGGATGGCCAGCGTGAAGACAACGCCCAGCAGGATGTCGGTGATCAGTATGACGTAGTGCATGAGGATGGAGAAGCAGGTCTGCAGACGGACGACAACACAGTTAGTTTATTGAATCAGCTCTGTTTGGATTCTGGTTTCTAGAGATCAATCTGGCTTACTGACCTTGGCGTAGATGGTCTTTCCTGACAGCATGAAGGCCTGGAAGAAGAAAAAACAAAACGTTAAAGACGTGAAGGTAACCAGAGCAGACCGAGCCGATCGGTTGGGTCGGTACTCACTCTGTAGTTGATGGTCTGGCACTCGTCCATCTCCGTCTCCGGGTTGCACATACACGAGTCGGGGATCTCGTTCCCCCAGTCCTTGTAGCTGAACAGGCCGCAGCAGTGCATCTAAAACCACAGAAGAAGAAGAAGTCGACGGTTATTGATCGTCACACAAAAACGACGTCCAATCGATGGACATGAAAACAACTCGACGGCTCCAGTTTCAGGGATGATGCACGTCTGTCTCCCGGCAGTTTAAAAGTTTAAAAACCCGGATCTGTTTTAACATCATCGTCCTTCCAGGTATTCAGTACGGTTTTGTTAATGCGTATTATATTGTCCTATTAGCAATATTCACTTAGATGTGCTGTACAAATGTATAATGAGTAATTATTAAACCTGACGATCATTAAACATGAATCAGATTTATTGCAGGTTCACACAATACGAGGACTTTGTTCTGGTGCAACAATAAATGTAGAGTAAAAATATAAAACTAGCTAAAAAATAAGAATAAAAATAAATGATAGTGCAAAGCAGAAGCAAAAAAAATATTGTGAAGAATTAAAGTTAAATTTAAATAAGAACCAGAAAGTGTCGTATTATCAGAATAAACCTGCATAAGCAGCAAAAACATCCAATTAAAATCCATTAAAATGGAAATGTACACACTACATGTGATTTTCTCATTAGTTGAAGAGTTTTGAGTCGGTTTCTGCTAAAAATGATAAAAACATGTTTTAATTAACATCACGGTTCACGTCAGGATCAAGAAACTATATTTAAAACGCCTCATAAAGCTTTTAAACACCTCGATCTACGCCGGAAACGTGACAAAAAATCAACTTCATAAACCCCCAAAAACAAACAAAGGAGGACTCGTTGTTGGGATCTTCATCGGTTCACTGATGCAAACATCCTCCAGCTGCGTCAGGAAACTTCATCAACCCACATCAGGTTCTCGTCCAAACCTCAACTGTCGGTTCACAAATTAAAGCACAGCTGCAGAATCTGCTTCAGTCTGACTGCACGACTTTATGGAAACTAACTCTGCAAATAAAACCCGACACACTTATCAGTACGCATGTCGAACACGTCAACAAAAACTATGAACTGAAGCATCGCTACAGTTTTGGTCTTTGATCGTTAAACGGACGCTAATTAAATACAGTCGTGACTTTTGTTTGACATCCGACACGTTTCCATTATGAACACAACCTGCTCGCCGCCGGAGGATTTACATGCTGCAAATTTCTGTTTTTTTAATGAGACCAATGAGGAAGTCGGTGGTTTCACCTTAAGGGACCGTTTCCACCTGCACAACCCGACCCGAGGCTTCACACGGCGGTCTGCTTTCACACCCCGACGGTCTGACGTAGTTTATATGGAGAGAGTTTTAATCGCTCTGATTTCACAACATGAACGAGGTCGTCTCACTTCGGTAAGTCGGGTTTTTTTTAACAATGTGACACAACAAACAGTGATTGTGCAAAACTGTGAAACTCAACACAACAGTAGGAATCTCACTAGTGTCTCTTCCTCTTTTTTAGTTCCGCCTTTTGCTTTATGAGCTCGTCGTTCACCTTCAAACGGTGTCAATGCAGAAGTGAAAGAACAAGAGAGTTTAGTCAGAAACAGGAAGTGATTCACGACGCAAAGTGACCTTTAAACACAATGAAATCTGTTGCATGACAATAAAATCCTCATGACAGTGAATTTGAATCTACGCCCGATGATGAATGGTTTGTCACGGCGCCAGCCAATCAGAGGCCAGAGCCACACCCGGCCGCCCCGTGAGAGGTTCTGGGAATGAAACCGGTCCGTCGACTAAAGCTTGTGACCTGGAAAGTCAACCGGTAACTGCAGAGAGCAACAACAACACATTTATGAACTAACTCAAGTTAAACTGAACCAGCAACTAAAAAGCTGAAACTTGATCCAGAAGGTTCCAACCTTCATGTCTAAAGCAGCAGATCTGTGCATTAATCCTGCGGTTCTAACCCAATATTACATACCGCAGGTAAACTTACATCATATTGTGGATTCTTCAACGAGGTAATTTCACATCAGTCCCAACCTTCAGTAGCATAATTATCCAGGTACACTTACATATATAATAATGTCACAGAGTCTTAACCGTAACATTTATTTAGTTCTACAAATGTACCTAATATTCTGTATTCCTAATCTTAGTTCATATTGCAGAGTCTTAACCTTAATAGTTGAATGACTAAAGTCAATTTGTATAATAAACATATTAGGGTTTGAACCGGATTTAATGTAGTTATGTAAATTTACACAATATGGTGGATTCTTAACCTTTATTTAAATTTACAAACAATATTGTTCAGTCTGAACCCCAATTCATAAATCAATTAATTTGTCTGAAAAATACAGTAAAATCTGAACCATAACATTTAATTCAGTTATACACATTTATATATTATTGTAGATTCTTACTTTTACCATTTAAATTATTCTGGTGAATTTACATAAATACTGTTGTCGGGTCTAAACCTTTAATTAGCCAAGAAAATTTACATTAAAAAAAAAAAGCAAAAGTAAAGTCTTAATCGTATATGTAAATGAACAGGGGATTTTGTGCAGTTATACTTGTCGGGTCTAAACCTGAATATTTAACTTATTTATGTAAATATCATACAGAGCACATATTATAGATCCCTAACCTTCCTGTTTAAAGGAAATATGCATCATTATTTACAGCAGTCTGGTCGATTTACGTCGTCTCATGTTTGTACATTTTTTGTCCAAAAAGTTTAAAATTTGAATTTAAAGTCAAAACTACAACGTGAACTTTTACCTCGACAACAGATTTACAGGAACAGCAGCGTGTTGCTTAATACGACCTGGCGGGGGCGCTAGAGCCTCGTCGCGACTTGTGGAGATTTTTGTTCGGCCGGTGTGTACGAGTTCTTGCTCGGCCATCTTTGTGGGGACCGATGGTAGTTTTCGGGACACTTGGGCAAAGTGGGGACGTTTCCTCACGAACCCACAGAGGTTGTTTGAACGTTTGGATTAGGTTTTAGGGTTCAGGTTTGATAGTGTACGAGTTGTACGAGCTGATACATCACCACCACTTAGCCTCGCTTCAGAGTTTCCCCAGTGGTCACTCGTGGTATTGCAACAAGGTAAATCATTATTTATTTTTTTTCCATGCTCACGGCGACAATCACATGCATCTTATTTACAAGACACTCAAACACAACTTAAAGTACAGGATGTAGAACAAGACAGGAGCTCATCTCACCGTCATCTGCAGGGACTCGGCCATGTTCTTCACGTCCTCGGAAGCTTCGTCCAGAGGAACAAACTCACGGAACTTTGACTCCAAAATGCCCTCGATCTGCAAACACAAACGATATCGGTGTGGTTTTAATTAGCTGTGTGACAAACAAAGTGTTAAAGTTCAGATCAGCTGACGTGTAAACAAACATGTTTTAGGACAACAGAAGAACATATGGACTTCATTACTAGCACTACTTTTGGGTATTTGAGCAAAACAAACAGAAATAAAATCACGACTGTTGAATCATTGAAATTACAAATTAACACATTTTTTAAAACATGTAATATACATTAGAATTTTCAAAAACTGTAAATAAACAAAAGACGTGCGACCAAGAGAAGCCTCACTACAACAGTAAAGTGTTGGTTTTTAACCGTTTTTATTTTGACATAACTTCAGATCAGTTAGAAATGTGACGAAACTAAACTTAATGTCTGTTAAACACGACTTGATGAACTTTTTGTTACATTTTTGTCATTTACACACGATACAGATTAAATAGTTGTTTACGTTTTTACTGTATTTTATTTGTTTTTAATCTAATACATAAAAAGTTAAACAGCAGAAGTCGTAAAGTGACTCTGATGATGTCATTTAGTGCATTTACATGAACCAGAGACACAGATGAGCTTCTGAATCATGTCAGCAGAGTTACTCGTTCTGCTGCTTCTCCTTAACAGACAGTTGAGTTTTAGGTTTTTATTTTGTCTTTAGGGGAACCACCAGTCTTTACTTGCAGCTATAACTGTTTGATTTTCACTTTCACGTCGCCCACAAGTTGTTTTCACAGAACAGCAGCACTAGAACCACCCTGAGCTAACAAAGGGAGCGTTTGCTTTGCCTCCTGAGCAAACAACCTGCAGCGTTTCCCCTCAAATCTGCTAAATCGCTTCTCTGCTGTCGAGTTCTTACCTGAGGACGGGCCATGGCGGTTGAGATTCCGATCCGGAGCATCAGCAGGGTTCCGATGACCATGCAGACCAGGAACTGAAAAGAGGTGCACAAAAAAACAAACAAACGTTAATCTGAGGCGACGGGGAGTTTCCACCAGTTCTAACTCTGATCATGATTTCACACCGACAGAAAACCCGAGATGTCGTCAGACGACACTCCAGAAAAGCTTCTCTTCTCAGAACACAACTATCAGATCTTTCAGAACGTAAACTCACCAAATTATCAGATTCACACTTTTTTTTTTTTTTTTTTTAAAACACTATTTGTATTTTCCAACCGATTGACCTGGTTTTCTGCAGTTCAAGCGTCTTTACAACAAAGTTCTGCAGCTTGGTGCCAGAAATGCAGCGTTAAGAGAGTTTAAAAGTGCAAAGAACAGCAAAACTGTGAATTAAACAGATGAAACGTGACGAAGACGCCTTTTGTTGTGAAGCTTGTTCACAAAGGAAATGAGCCTCTAAAAAAAAATTACAAAAACCACAAAACAAGCAAAACATTCACCATTTCATAAATAAAATTGACTTTATGAAAAGATAACGCTGAATATGCAAATATTCACATTCAAATCAGTGATTTATTCAGGATAAATGTATTTCCACCTATTTTCTGAAACAAAATTGTGGGAAAACAGAACTTTTGCTCAGTTTATGAACTAGTTTACAACATAAACTGCATCTATTCTATTCTAGAAGTGGATCTGGTCCCAGAAAACCCTGTGATTTACAGCCACAGCAGCTAATTGTCCCGATAAAGCTTCCAGGAATTAACCGCCTGTTTTAGTGCCTGAAGGGAAAACCAGTGCAGAACAAGAACAAACACGTTGTAGAGACGTTCTCTTCACGTTCCCTGTTAGGTTTTGTAGCTTTGGCAGCTCCATTTGAAGACGTTCGGTGTTCACTCACCACGATCAGCGACACTTTGCTCTCCTTGTGCGCCCCGTAGGCGCCCAGGATGGCGATCATCATGGTGATGGCGCCGACCACATAGAGCGCGATGAGGCCGGTGGTCCGACCCTCCAGCTGCAGCAGGAAGCACCAGACAAGTTAGCGCTCACTCGCGTCACGGCCACAATCTCATTAATTAGTCAAGTTGATTAATGAACTCACGTTTTCGCGTCCGCCCGTATTGGTGAGGACCTGAGACAGCAGCGCCAGAGCGATGATGACTCCGCCCACAATCTGCAACGAGACAAACAAACAACAGATTTAATAAACAAAAACAAACAACAGGTTTGATAAAAACAAACCAGAGTCAGCTAAAGGGGCGACTTCATGCAAAACTACACTGTAAAAAACAAGAAAAAGAAAACAGGAAGTGAAAATCTGATGTAAAGAACACAGGAGAAAACAGGAGAACACCGGGATGCACAAAAACTGTGACAATAACAGCAAATATCTGTAAAAGAATGAGATTTTAGTTCATTTTTAGCCAGTTGTGTAATTAAAGAAAGAAACTTAGAAAAAAAGAAAAAGTGAAAATCTAAAGTAAAGAACATGTTAAACCAGTGGAACAGTGTAATGACAATAATTTAAAAAACTGTGGAAATAACAGCAAATATCTGTAAAATTGTGTTACGTTTTTAGCTGATTTTAAACAGCAAAACTGTCATTTTACAGCCAGTTGTGTAAAAAAAATAAAATAAAAACAAAACATTTTTAACATACGGTTTGTGATGTTGACATTTTTTACAGTAAAACTATTATCATTAGTAGTAATTAGCCTTTTTAAAGTTTAACATCTAAATGAATCTTTCTGTGATTTTACTGATTGTCTGTAATCTACCAAAACAAAAAATCTGTAAAATTATAGTTTAAATTTTTTTAAATCAATTTTTCAATTCTTACATTTGTAGAACAATATTTTTCATTGATTTAAATAAAAGTGCAGTTTTTACATCCAAACATCGTAAAAAACAATAAATTTATATTTTTACAAAAACAAAAAAAAGATTTTTGATATCAACCAAATTCATAGTTTTGACTTGTTTAGATAGTAAAATGCATGTTTTCTATAATTCCACTAAATATTTTCCGTTTTTAACATAATTTACTATTTTCCAGTCGTCCATTTACATAATTCGTCTTTCAAATAACATCAGATATGTAAAATCATGTTTCTATGGCAAATTTAATGCAGCAAAAGTGAATCATTTTACCGTCAAATGTTGGAAAAGAAGGAATTTATTATTAGTATTACTTCGTTTTTTGGTGTTTTTCCTGTATTTTTCCAAACTATTATGTGTCATTTAACAGCACAAGAGAACACCGACCTGTGAAGAAATGCAGTTATTTACAGCTTTGGTCTGTTAACATGTAAATTCATTTATTTTCTGTGATTTCAGTTTTTTTTCTATAATTTTGCAAAACCGGAAAATTCCGTAAAATAGAAGTGAATAGTTTTTAAAATGTATAAAAAAAACATTGTTCTTTTTTCAGTAATTTGATCATTGCAGTCGTTTCTGCAGCATTTCCTGTTTTTGTTGTAAATTACAGGAAGTTGTTTTTTTTTTTTTCAAAATCAGAAATCCTCCTGTTCCAGCTCCTCGCTAGAAACCTGCTGCTCCTGCGTCTCGTTAAATTAAACGTTGGGATGTTTTTAAGCAGCCGAACACTTTCACAAAATGGCCGCCTGCTCCTCTGATGGCGTCTGAACGGATTAAAGCTCGACGCCGTTTCACTTTTGACCCAGTTACGAGTGAAAACCGGCTCCGGTCGATGAAGTCCTGCAGTTCTGACTTTCAAACTGCAGAAAAGCTAAACTCAGAACACCAGAAAGGTTTGTTTAGTTTGTGGGGAATTGAAGTTTTGCAACCTGGAACTGGGTCGGCGTGTCCTGAACCCTGAACCGGGTCACGTCAGTCCACCTCAGACTGAACTGTTTGACTCAGAGGATCAGTTTTAAAGCAGCCATTTGACCTTTTAGAAGTTTTAAACCCAACAGGAGTGTCTCCTGGAGCTGCTCAGACCAGAACTCTGCTGGTTCTGTTTGTCAGTGTTACATCACGGGGCAGCAAATGGCCGCCGGCGGCTCCGGTGGCGCAACGCAGCAGAAGGCCGGAAGCCTGTGAGCCAATTAGAGGCCGATTAGACTCCACCTTTGATCGAGTTACGTCTCCAGAGCCGCTCGGTCGATGCAGCGCTTCAAACCGCAAAAACCTGAACCTCCTGAAACCAGAACAGCTGGTTCTGTTTCTGCAGGAAGTGAAAGTTTTGAAAGCTGAGCCGGATCCCAGCTGCCCGGTGACCTCCAACACGGAGGCAAACACTCGTACCAGCAGGTCCAGATCAGCCCAGCCGCTTTCATCCCGGTCCGACTGAAAACAGAACCGCTGGGCTGGACCGGGTCGGACAGCTGCTGCTGGTTAGACCTGATGACTGGCTGGCTTCAGCTGGGTCCAACACCTACATGACCCCATTTAACTCGGTCTTTCCTGCTTGTTTACATAATTCTCAGGTTGTTTGTTTTGACATTTGAATCATTTGCGTGACTTTTTATTTCTTCCTCATTTAATCTGATTCAACCATAAAAACTCACAACAGCTTCTCAAAACCCTCTAACTTCACCCTGAACATTTGAAAACTATTTAAAACCCAGAAGAAGCTCATTTAAGGTGGAAAAAGTTGCGCAGAAGCTAAAAACCAGCAGCAAAGACACGAAAAAAGCGAATAAACGACATGAAAACCAAATAAAAGCTCAGAGAACTTCAACATCTGCACTTTTCCTTTATTATCTATGAGAAACAGCCGCTGACTAACGCCGCCCACCTGCACTGCGCACTTTATATTCACGCTCATTGGAGGAGAAATAAACAAACATTTAAAAAAACAAATAAAAACAACTCACCGCGAAGAAGATGTTGAAGATGGTGAAGACGCGCTTCAGGCAGGTGTTGATCTGCGTCATGTTTGCGCCTGAAAACAACCAGAAAATTAAAAAAAGTCAAACGAACCAAGTCCGAGTCGCTCCGAGGTGAACTGAGGCGACGGCGGCGGGCGGCTGGTTTTAACGGACGGGACGGGCCGGCGGGGCGGAGCTTCCCGGAAAGGTCCCATAAGGAGCGTTCCGGCGGGGTGAGGGGGGGTGAGAGGGGGTGAGAGGGGAGGATGAGGGGAGGAGAGGGGGGAGGAGGGATTCCGGGAACGCGAGTGGAAAATTTCTCTCGCTCGGAGCGAAGAGAAGCAGCTCGAGAGGCCGCCCAGGGAGGAGGGGAGGCCGGACACGTCTGGACATGAAGCCCGACGAGCAGGACCCGGAAGTGACGACAGGGAGCGGTCCAGCTGGTGTACTCTGATTACTGCAGTACGCTGCTCTGCGGAGGTTTACGTCTACTGCAAAGTTAAAGTAGTTTGTCTGCTTTGTCCTACTTCTACTCCGACATACTTCAAAGGTATGCTGAAAAAAAGAGTTTTATATTTAAAGACGCAGTAATTTAATGTCCATGTACTGCGAATTTAAAGTACTTCTACTCCCAAAATATTTAAAAGTTAAACCAAAAGAAGTATTATAAAAACAAAACAAAACAAACAGACGCATTATACTTCCATCTGCAGGAGTTCAAAGTACTTTTGCTGCATTTAAAGTACTTTTAGTGCGACACTGTATTTCTGCCACGTTGTACTTTTTAATTGCAGTAAAATAAAGTACATTTACTGCAACCTTAAAGTAGTTTTTGTGTTTTTTTACTTCGCTATATTTCAAAGAAACACTGCAAAGACAAGTGTTGTACTTTTTACTGCAGTACATTCATCTGCGGGGTTTACAGTACAGTACATGTACTAGAGTTAAAGTACTTTTTACTGCTTTACGTGTCTTTGCAGTTTCAGGACGGCTACAGAAGTACTGCACTGAAGTACAACTTCAGGGTACGAGTACTTTTCCACCAAACGTCTGACCTACAGCTAGTAGTTTGTAGAAGTAATGAAGTACATTTACTAAAGTTCTGCACTTGATTGTTTTGGTTCTACTTTTACAGCAACAAACCTCAAAAGGGAAAGTACTTTTACGAGTACTTTTAAAGTTGTTTTCTGCAGTTTCGTGTCTGTTTGTGGTGATTTTGTGTCTTTTAAACGTCGCTGTGTGGCTGAGTTGTGGGTATTAGTTGTACTTTTGTGTTTGTTTGTAGTTTCCTGGGTGTGTTAGCAGCAGTTTTGCATCTTTTTGTGTATATTTTTTGTGTATTTTTGTGTCTCATTGTGGTTATTCTGCTTCTACTTTGTGACTCTTTGGACTCGTTTTGTGCGTCTTTGTGGTACTTTTCTCTTTCTCAGGTAGTTGTACATCCCCGTGTTTCCCTGTGCCAGTTGTTTTTGTGTGTGTTTCTAGTTTTTATGCGTATTAGCTGCAGTTTCTCAGTACTTGTGCGACTCCGTGTACTTGTCCTGCATGGCGTTGTGGCTTGTGTGGGTTTTCGAGGTCGCCTCTCGTCTCCGTGTGGTTTTGTTGTGTTTTGGTTTGCAGCTCGTTGTGTTTGTTTCAGCTTGAAGTCGTTTTGTGTTTAGCATCTGTTTCTAATCTTCCTGTGATGTCAGACTGTTTCCACCGAAGCTTTTCAGTAAATCCATCGGAGTTCGTCTTTCTGGTCGTGTTTCAGCTGCTGGACGACGAAGACGTCACCGTCAGAGAACTCATCTGCATCCGTGAAACCTCACCAGGAGGAAAAAGGTGATGAACAGAACAGAAGCTCTGGATCAAAACACACTTTCAATTCTGTGGAAACACAGTCAATCCTCCTCCTCCTCCTCCTCCTTCGTTCCTGGACAGCAAACAGGAGGAGATCTGAGGCGACCGTGACTCAGTGCAGAGGAATGTGATCCCAACGCTGAAGCTGCTGCTCTGACTGGAAGCTACGCAATAACAGCAGTTCAACGTCCTCACGCTGTTTCCACCGTGTATGATGTCAACTGACTGGTTCTGTAAACTGAGAGTCAATCCCAGAGGGCCTCGCTGTGTTTCAGTCCGGACGCCGTACATTACAGCCAGTTACACAACGCTAACACAAACAGCAGCTTCTCCTGCACTTCATGATTATTGTTTTACTGCAAAGTGACCCTGACTGGTCGGGATGTCTCTACCTAGGAATGCTAGCTGCTGGCCTTGGCATGCTCGTGGTGATAATGGGAAAGCGTAGTCAATAGTGTTGGAATGCTAATCAGTACCCAGGGATGCTAACTGTTAGCTGAGGACTGGCAGAGACTGTCCAAGGGATGCTAGTTTCTAGCTTACAGATTCTTGTTGCCAGCCTAACAATGCTATCTTGGGCTGCTAGTGCTAACTTAGGGTTGTAGAGACTAGTGGAAGGATGCTAGTTGCTATTCTGGAGATGCTAGTTGCCACCATTAAATACTGGTCACAGGCTTAGAGATGGAAGAAGTACCTGAGGGATCCTAGCTTCTAGCCAAAGGATGATAGTCAGTTGCATAGGAATCCTAGTAACCAGTGACTACAATGGGAGCTTTTAGGGTTGCTAGTTGCTAGCCTAGAGATGGTAGTTGCCAGCATAGCATAGTCAGCAGAATAAGAAAGCTAGGAACTATAGTAGGACTGCTAGTTGCAAACCTAGGGATGCTAGTCAGTACGTAGGGAGGCCAGTTGCCACCATGAAATACTAGTCACTAGCTTTGGGATGGAAGAAGTACCTGAGGGATCCTAGCTTCTAGCCAAAGGATGGTAGTCTGCTGCACAGCGATCCTGGTAACTAGTGTGTAAAATGGGAAAACTGGTTTCTGTTTTATTGTTGCTAGTGTCTAGTCTAGAGATGCTAGTTGCCAGCGTAGCGTATTCAGTAGTGTAACAATTCTGGTGACTCTTATAGGAATGCCAGTCACCATTCAAGGGATGCTAGTAATTACCTAGAAATGCTAACCTACGGATGCTACTTGCTAGCCAAGAGATGCTTTTTGCCAGCCGAAGAATACTAGTCACTAGCTGAGTAATGGTTAATCCACCTCAAAGATCCCAGTTTCTAGCCTGCAGATGCCAGTTGCTTGCCAAAGTGTGTTAATCACTAGCCAAGGGATGCTATTGCTAGCTTGCAAGTGTAGAGACTAGCCACAGGATGCTAATCACTAGCCCAGGGGTAATAGAAAGTACTCTGGGGAACCTGTGTTCTAGCTGAGAGATGGTAGTCTACTGCATGAGGATCCAGTGACTAGTGGCTACACTGGGAAAAGCTGGTTTCTATTTTAGGAATGATAGTTTCTAGCTTAGAGATGCTTGTTGCCAGAAGAATGCTACTTGCTAGCCTAGGGATGCTAGTGCTAGCTTTTGGGATGTAGAGACTGGCCGAGGGCTGCTACTAACTAACTGACGGTGCTAGAGACTGGCCTTGGGTGGTAGAAACCAGCCTTGGGATGTTAGTTGTTGGCCTAGGAATGCTAGTCAGCAGCCTAGTGGTGGTAGAACGTAGCCTCGGGTTGCAGGTATGGGCTGGCGATGCTAGTTGCTAATCCAGAGGTGCTACAGACTTGTGAAGTCAATCACATTCCAGTGAGTTGCCAGCAGTGGCGGCTGGTAAAATTTGTTGTTGGAGGGGCGCAGTCTGTAAATGCGACGGCTGTGGTGTGCTCAGACAGGTGTACGACCAAACATGACTTTAAAAATAATAAACCAGGGCGTTCTCATGTCAGATTTGTCTGAGGTTAAACCCAGTTACATGTATTCTACACGTGGTCGTTTCTACGAACGGAAAAACAGCGGATGTAGGTGCGCTCTGTGTCTCACGAGAAGACCTCATTTTTAATACTGCGGTACAGCAAAGTCATAAAAGTTCTGCTTTCCATCACTGTGGTTAACAGCAGCTTCCTGTGCTGGTAACAGTGACACTAATACAGCTTCCTGATCATCATGCTTATCAGTTCACATTCTCAAAAAGAAGGTCACAAATGCAGTCTGGAGCTATTTGAAAAAAAAAACTTTGCTCTTCTCTCTTTCTACTCTGCAAACTTCTCTATGCCTTTTTGGTTGAAGTCACTCATCTGTGAATAGCCTTTTCTCCACTGACAGCAGTCCGATGCATTCAGTCATCATGACAGCAGCTGTCATTGGGTAGAAGAACAACAGGAAAGGCCGTGTGACACGTCAGATATGTATTTAAAGCACAGTCATAAGAACGTCAAAGGACAGTTTTGACATCCAACCACAGAGGACAAAAGCAAATAAAGACAAAATTAATTGGCTTACAGCAAAAGTGGGCGGGTCCGGGACGCACCGAGCTGCGCCCGTGAGAAAATCTGCAGCTGCCAATCAGAGCCCGGGCCAAGGTCACATGATCACAAAAAGTTTTTCAAGCTACACTCATGTGGCCGCGCCGCATCCAGGAAGTGAAGAATTAGTAAACACGCAGTGAAGACTAATTCTGAATCTGTTAATAATATAAATATTGTTAATATGGCAACAAAAATATGAACGATATTAGTAATTTTATTGTTATTTTGTTATAATGAATTCAAATTTAGTATTGTGTTTGAGAACTACTTCTTATCTGGTCAATAGTAGTAGGTCGGCCTAGGGATGCCAGTGCCAGCTTT